ATGTCGCCTCCACCCTAGCCTGGTATGCATTGCCCGTAAGGTGTATGTCGTCTCCACCCTAGCCTGGTATGCATTGCCCGTAAGGTGTATGTCGTCTCCACTCTAGCCTGGTATGCATTGCCCGTAAGGTGTATGTCGTCTCCACCCTAGCCTGGTATGCATTGCCCGTAAGGTGTATGTCGTCTCCACTCTAGCCTGGTATGCATTGCCCGTAAGGTGTATGTCGTCTCCACCCTAGCCTGGTATGCATTGCCCGTAAGGTGTATGTCGTCTCCACTCTAGCCTGGTATGCATTGCCCGTAAGGTGTATGTCGTCTCCACCCTAGCCTGGTATGCATTGCCTGTAAGGTGTATGTCGTCTCCAAGTCACCCTTTTCTCTCTCTTCACAGATTCGAAAATGGATCGAAAAGATAAACTTTTTGTCATAAATGAGGCAAGAATAATCTTTTATGGCTGTTATTTGTCTTAGAGCTAGTACTTTTAGTGGTAATTTTTGTTTTCTTTTCAGGTATGTGAGATTAAAAACTGCAATAAGTGTATATTTTTTGAAGCAAAGAAGAAAGAAGACCTCTACATGTGGTAAGTTAATCACACAAAGTTTATTTGGTCATTTTTGTGCACATAAATCAAAAACTCAATCATAAGTTTTGATTCATAGTGTCTATTTCTATAAATAAATAGTGATTAAATAGGTACATTTAAAATGAATGATTGCTGATAGTCAATTACTGAATCTGGCATATCAGTTCCTGAGATGCCATCTACAGGGAACTTAATGAACTACACGTAGCAGAATAAGAACACCATTTGAAGTAATTTCACCTAGTTACTGAGAGATCCATTGAGTTTAAACAAAATAAGGTGCACAGTATTTATTTGATCTTGAGATGAATATAATGTGTGGACGACTTGGGTCAAGAACATTACTGCAGTTTTAAATGAACTGAATACCTTGTAAACAATCGCTAACCAACAAATACTGTGCAGTTATTGCTGCAAAAGGGGGTCACACCAGATACCGAAATGAAAGATTCAGATACTTTTGCCACTGACAGATATGTAATATTGGATCATTTTCCTCAATAAATAATTGACCAAGTGAAATATAATTTCTAATTTATTTAACTGGGTGTTCTCTGTCTACTTTTAGGACTTGTATGAAAATCTGATGATATTTCAGGTCATATTTATGCAGAAATGTAGAAAATTCTATAGGGATCACAAACATTCAAGCACCACTGTATGTGTTACGGTGTGTGTGTGTCTGTGTGACACGCAATGGAGTAGCATCCCATACAGGGTGCCCCCCCCCCCCCACACACACACACACACCATCCAAACTAGGATGTGTTTAGAAGATTAACAGATTGGTGGACGATGAAGTTAAGTGATTTAAGTGATTCTGCTTTTCTTTCGTAGGATTTCTAATGTCCCCCATGGGCCTTCAGCGAAGTTTTTGGTTCAGAATGGTGAGTTTTTTTTGTTTTTTTTTCCAGTTACGATTTAACAGTAAATGGTTTGATAATTTGAACAGCAAACATTAGTGTGAATGTTATATTTTGAATTTTCTGTCGGAAGATGTGTATATATATTTTTTTTTTACTCTAAGTTCATACACTGGCTGAACTGAAGATGACGGGAAACTGTCTGAAAGGCTCAAGGCCTCTGCTTTCGTTTGACCCTGTAAGTCACATGTCTGATTCCTGTCCTTTATACTGGGTTTTTAGTCTTGCTAAGAATAAGGGTTGTATGAAAATGTTTCTCTGATATTCATTCATTCAGTTGAGAAGAGTCCACAGGTGAAATTTGTATATACATTACTTATCTTGTTCTTAGAGTTGTGAGCATGTTGTGTTTAGCACAGGTGAAGTGATCTTATATGATTTGTGTACTGATACATGTATGGTAATTTTTTTTTGTGGCAATGTGGTATGTTTCATATATAACAGTGCTTTCGCATATTATGTTAGGTGATAATTCCTATTTTTCTTCTGTGCAGAAATTTGACAAGGAGCCCCACTATGCGTTATTGAAGGAGCTTTTCACCCAGGTTTGAGGAAATTATTGCTAATACCTTTGTTTTCAGCAGATTTGCATTGGTTATTTTACACAAGGCCGTCTGCATATGCTGGGTTGTAGTTTGTGCCAGAATCTTGTCCTCTGTGAATAGCAGAGTTGCTTTCTAATGTAGTATTTTCCTCTCACTGTGCTCTGAAAGTGTATAAGTGAGCTGGAGAACCAGCGAGAAGTATTAAACTGCACTGCAACAGGGTAATTAAAGTTAAATAGCAGGTTTGCGTTCCGGAGTACCATAACTGTGATAACATATGTATGCTGAACTCTGTTTACAGAGTAAAAGGCTTGTTCAATTAAATTGTGTGTTTTTTTTTCTTTGTAGATCTTTTCCACGCCTCAGTATCACCCTAAGAGCCAGCCTTTTGTGGACCACATATTCACATTCACGATAGCAGACAACAGGATATGGTTCAGGAATTACCAGGTCAGCGGTCTCCCTCCTCTCCTGTTTAGAAGACCATGTAAATAACATGTCGGTGGTCCTTGAGATTAGGGACAAAACAGGTTTTGATTTTCTTAAAAAAAATTTGTCAACGTCGTCAGACACATGGAAATGTCTAAAATTATTTTGAATTAACTTATAGATATTTGACTCTTAGCAGTTTTGGTTGTTTTAATTATGCACACCTGTTTTCAAATTCTTTTTGAAAGTTAGATTAGTCGTCTGACAGAGATGAGAAAATACTATATTTCCCGTTTTTCCACAATAGCCATTGTATTTATCCTCGGTTGCTTGTGACATATACAATGTAAATTTTTAAATTAACTTTAATTACCTAATATTTCACACATTTCTGGCATATCAATGATTATGGTATTTACGCATTATGGTTGTGACAACGTATTATCAAAGGTATGAAATGAAATAAATATTAAAAACTTATCAGAGCTAGAGTGATCTAAAAGCATCTAGAACAGTGTTTCCCAATCTGAGAGGAAGCAAAAGCGTGGACTGTCTGGGGTTCCCCGAGGACTGGGTTGGGAAACGCTGATCTAGAAGAACAAGAAAGTGCAAAAGGGGTCCTCAGAGTTTTAGCTACCCACAATAATTCTTTTTTTTAATTTTTTATTTTTATTTTTATATATTAAAAAAAAAAAAAAACTCTGGTGTTGACAACTCGGACACAAGTTCAGTCAACTAGAAAGTATATTAAAATTCTTAATTGTAACTTTTGATACTCATGAAATTTACTAAACTACTTATACATTGTAATTATGATGTCTAATGTTACCTTTTTGATTCTTTTAAGCTATTCTAACAGAGACTTGCCATACGGCAAGGGCTTTTCAGGCACAAGTCACATATTGTATCATGTAGAATTAAACAAAACATGAAATCATATTTTGATATGCTAACATTATCCTGTTTTGTCTATTGGTTATTTGCATGAATAATAATGTGCTATTTTTTTAAACCCTCTTTATCTGGCACGCATGTTTTGTCCCAAATCTCAAGAGGCACTGATTTGTGAAATGCAACCTTTTCTTCCAGTGACTTATTTTCATGGTTGCTCTTGTGTCCCACAGATCATTGAAGAAGATGCATCTCTGGTGGAGATTGGGCCTCGTTTTGTCCTCAACCCCATCAAACTGTTCCAGGGTAGTTTTGGTGGGCCCACACTCTATGAAAACCCTCACTTTCAGTCTCCTAATATGGTAAGATGAGAATAATGTGATTTCTATAATTATTGTATTCTTCATTTCATACCATATCTACTCTGCTTTCAGTGAGGTGTTATTCTTTAAACAGAACTTTGCATTCAATTTTTAAATCTGCTTTTCACATTAAAATCGTCCAGCACCGGCGCTTGATTCGACTGGCCACAGCTGGTAAGTTGCGGGAAAAGCAGATGGTGAAGGAACTGCAGAAGGTGAGGAGGTTAGAAGAAAAGCAGCCGGTGACCAGAGACGTCACAGATGAGGTTTTTGCGACGCCTGCTGAGGAGAAGCCTGTTGAAATTGAGCTGGAGGCCCCACCTCCTAAAGCAGCAAAGAAGAAGGAGTTCAAAAGAAAAAGGATGCAGAGGCTCAAGATGCGGTGAACTGTTGGCTTTTGGAGAACAGATCTTCTTGTAGAGAAGATTGCTGGACGGAATGCATGACGGTCATTTCACCTGTCCCTAGTACCTTCCATCATGTTTAAGCTAAATAATGTGCTTTCCTGAAAAGAATGGAGGAGAGCATCTCATTTGTGTTCAGCTCCTGTCATGTCCAGTATCACTGAAGTTCAACCTGACTACACAAAAGTTTTGTCCCTTGCAAATATTTTTTAAAATAAAAGTTTCCCAATCCCATTTAAAAAAAAAAAAAAAGTTGTAATTGAATTTTTTTTATTTTTTTGTATTTTTAAACATTTGTTACACAAAAAGTGCTGGGTCTATACCAGACGTCACAATCTGTATCACATGCATACACTCACTGGCCGCTTTAGGTACACCTGTTCAACTGATCTTTGAAGCAAATATCTAATCAGTCATGCAAATACATGTCAGTTCAGTTAATGTTCTCATCAAACACTGGAATGGGGAAGAAAGGTGATTTAAGGACTTTGAAGGTGGCATGGTTGTTGGTTGCAGGTGGGCTGGTATGAGTATTTCAGAAACTGCTGGGGTTTTCATGCACAACCATCTCTAGGGTTTATAGAAAATGGGCCAAAAAAGAGAAAACATCCAGTGAGCACCAGACCTCTGAGAAAAAAATGCCTTATTGATGGCAGAGAAGAATGGAACTCAACGGTACAACCGAAGTAAGTCTCGATTTCTGCTGAGACATTCAGATTGTAGTAACAGAATTTGGCATGAACAACATGAAAGCATCAATCCATCCTGCCTTATATCAGAAATTCAGTCTGGTGATGGTATGGGGGATATTTTCTTGGCACACTTTGGACTCCTTAGTTCTAAGTAAGCATAGTTTAAATGCCATAGCCTACCTGAGTGTTTTTGGTGACCATATCCACCACAGTGTACCCAGCTTCTATTGGCTACTTAGTGCATAACAGCACACCATGTCACCAAGCCCATATCATCTCAGAGTGGTCTCTTGAACATGGCAATGACTTCACTTTGCTCAAATGGCCTCCAGTCACCAGATCTCAATCCAGTACAGCATCTACGGGATGTGGTGGAACAGGAGATTCACATCATGAAAGTGCGACTGCCACATCTCCAGCAAGTGCATGATGCTATCATGTTGTCATGCACCACAGTCTCTGAGGAATCTTTTAAGCACCTTGTTAAATGTTTGCCATGAAGAATTAATGCAATTATGAAGGCAAAAGGGGATCCAAGAAAGATGTACCTAATAAAACGGCCAGTGAGTGTATATTCAAATTAGACGAAGCATATAAAAATTTGGAAAGTACGGAAGTATAGCCCTACTGAATAATATGTAACTGAGAAGTGACTTACGAGCAGGCGATATTAACTTTAAACTTATCTGATCGGTAGTGCATCATCGACTTTGTATGACGCACTTGTTAAATCGTGGTCTATATATTTGGATGTCCCTTAAAGAATATTAAAAATTACACTTTTCAATTAGTTTTTTAATAATAATTACCCCCTTATATATGTTGTTTCTTCTGAGGGTACACTATTAACAAATCATCACCCGCAGTTGTAACCTTTACTTCATTGATGTTTCGATATTACATTTTAACATACGTTCTCCTCTTTTTTCACCTCTTTTTTTTCGACATCATTCATTTTTATTAAACTTGAAATAATCGAACAAACCCTATTCTGTAGAATACCGTAATATTGTAAGTCCTACGGTAAAGATTTGGTTGCCATGGATACTGATTTGCATGTAATAGTGAGTAACCCGTATAGATTTTTTTATTGAATGATTTTAAACAACCAAATACAGGATACAAATTGTACATGCTGAAAATCAGATAAAGGAAGTAGAATTACATGATGTTGCACCCGTAAATATACACCAGTATAGAATTTACTGGAAAATGGACTAGGCGAATGACGCGTAAAACACGTAAATGTGACGCTTTGGCCGTCGCTCGGATATGACGTCATATTAAAGTGCCGGTGTAACGGACAACCGGTCCGCATTGCCGGCTGAACGCAGAAGCGTGATATGTGGAAGCTATACGTTTCAGATATCTGATTCTTGTTCGTGTCAGTTAGTTGCTGCTATGAATAAACCAGCAATGATATCTGAAATTGCTTTGAGCTTTATACGATAACCATTTAAATTGTTCAGTATGTTCATTACTTTGTTGTTATAAAAGCACCATATCGATGTAATCGTCAGCTTGTTGGTTGCAGTGTTTCTGTGTTCTTAGCCAGCTTGCTGTTTTTTTCCTGGCGTATAAGGCCAAATTCTTTGGTAAATAAGGATTCTAGCTTAAGTATCCGTCGACATGAAGTGCTATTACGAAGTGCTGGGAGTTAAAAGGGATGCTGTTGATGACGATTTGAAAAAGGCCTATCGGAAATTAGCTTTGAAATGGCACCCAGGTATTGAATCTCATCTTTTATTTAGACCTACACGCTTCAGGACAATGGTACTAGATCATGTTAAGGAACATGTTTACTTTTAAAGATTTCACGGTACTTGCTTACAGTACAAATGGTGATTTTTGGTTATGTTTGTTAAAACGTATTTCTTCCAATACAGTGCATCATTTGTTAAAAGGGAGTTAAAGGAATAGGATTTTGCTTGAAGAAGATTTTAGACTGTGTTACATTATGACTTTCACAGATCTGTATGCTGATCGCACTTCCAGGTGATTCCTTTGAATCACTATACGCTGAAAATACACACCTGTCCTTTACCTAAGTCTGCAGTTTAAATTCTGTATTCTCTTTCATTAGTAACATTGGAGAGGAGTATATCAATATACACCCCCTTTTTTCTTCACAGATAAAAACTTAGACAATGCAGAAGAAGCTGCAGAACAGTTCAAGTTGATCCAGGCAGCCTATGATGTCCTCAGTGACCCACAGGAAAGAGCCTGGTAATCGTTCAAGTCATTTTTCCCATTTTCTCTTTTAGAAACTCCACAATACAAAATGTACTCAAACAGTGACAGACATATTTCATATTAATAGTCCATTTGCACCACCAGTAAGATCTCTGGCTAATTACGTTGTTTGTGGTTTGCATTTAGCTAATGACATATTTGCGGTGTTAAGCACATTTGGTAGAATTTCACCATGAAATTAAGTTAATCTTAATGTTAGTATCTCTTCCATACATGAGTTGATACTTTCATGTAAAATAAAGGGAGAGAGAGATGCTGCCTTTGCTCCTGGCCCACATCCCTGTGTGGATGGAGTTTCGCATGTTCTCCTTGGTTTTGCTTGGGTTAGGTGATTTTCTGTGTCAGAATTGTCTTTAGTCTGTAATTTTGTATCTGTGAAATGGACTGGCATTCTCCAACATCAAAGCAGCCCTGCGTTGACTGAGCACTAGTGGAAAATGGACAGGTTTCCAACTTAACTGGTGGAACCTGGAAAATAAGTGGCTTTTAGACATACAACTACATTGTTGAATATTTTGTATGAAAAAGTTTTCTTTGTACCTTTTTTAAGCACACAGTCACACACTCATATGCAGTAGTTGTATATTCCTTTGTGTATCTTTGCCAAAAAATACACGTTGGGTTTAGCAAGCCATATTACATCATTAGCATCACAAGAGTTTCTGCTCTTGACTAGTCAGGCATTTGAAAGAATATCGTGCAGAAAACAGCCATAACAAAAACTCAAGCTTTGTATATGTACTCATGAGTGTAAAAGTTTTTTTTAATTTTTTGGTCGAGTGCTTAACTTAGGTGACACCACAAGTGACTTGTGTGACTGCCTTGTAACTCCATGGGTATGGGTTTGATTCCTGTCCCCAGCTCTGTATGTGTGAAGCTCACATTCTTCCCTGCGGGGGCATCTTCAAGGTATTCTGGTTTGCACCCACGGTCCAAAGGGTTCGGATAAACTGCTCATAGTGGATGCCCTGCAGTGGGGTCGAATCCCATCCAGAGTATCCCCTGCTTTGTGCCCTCACTCTGGCTCTGTACTGGATAAATGTTAAGGACAAAGGATGGATGCTTAATTAATTGTATTTGATAAGAATAATGTACAGTATATTACAAATTATTTAGATTAAGGCGGCCAAAGTCCAGGCTTTGTCACATAGTATCAGTTTACTGTCCTGAACAGGCCAGATTTAAGGTGCTTGGGGTAAATGTTGAAGCTACTGCTGTGTCTGCACTCCAGGTATGATAACCACCGGGAGGCGCTGTTAAAGGGCGGAGTCAGTGGAGAGTATGCAGATGATAGTATTGACCTGCTTCAGTATTTCACTGTTACATGTTACTCCGGGTATGGAGATGACGAGGGGGTAAGTGAATTTTCATTTGGTGTTAGCACACAACTGTGGTCTAATTGGTTTAATTTTGAGATTTAAAAGCCTTGGCTAATACATATTTAGCATTTAAATGAAGCCGTTGTCTGGTTTTAATGCCACGTGACTGTCAGAGGTCCAGCTGAAGCTACCTTCTACATGTCTTTTGCCAAAAGCTCTAATTGGACTTTTCATGAATAGACTTTTTCCTTAAGTAATGGGCTGTAATAGTTTTCGATTATTTAATGTAATAACAAGACGGTGAACCGTTACATAAAAAGCATGCAGCTTTTAGTGACAGGTGATTAAACATGGAGGAGAGGAATCCAAGGTATCTCCTCTTTACTGTCATGATCTGATAAATGCAGATGTATGTCATTTATATTTTATGCATTGGTATAAAATGAAAGTATTCTTGGTAATTGTCATGTCAGTTATTCTGACAATTATATAAATGCTTCTAGGGAATTTGAATATCGTGCTCATAAATTATTGTTGTAAATTGCTGTACTTTAGCCTTCAGTGCTTGCAATGTGGTGCATATGATAGCAGTAATGAGGTAAAACCTTTTCTCTGGACTTTTGTGTGGTTCTTGTGCAAAAATGGTCTTCACATTAAACACTCTTATGCTGGAAAATTGTGAAGTTTATGTTACTCTGCTATTTACCTCTTACCCCTAGATGGGAGAACAAAGTGAAGCTTTAACAGACATAGTGAGAACAAAATAGGGTTGGAGGTTTGATCAGACTGGTTATTTAACAATTTGGCGATGCACTATGAAGCAGATGGAAATGTAAGAGAGAAAGGGACCCTTTCAGTTTACCCACTTATGCTGACAACGATTACCTCCATTCCTACTCATCACTTCCTTCTGTTGTTGTCTTTCACTCCCATAGGGATTTTACACTGTTTACCGGACTGTGTTTGAGTCTATAGTGAAGGAAGAAATGGAGCACTTCAAAGAAGAAGAGGAGGATGAATATGAGTTTCCCACGTTCGGGGACTCTCAGAGTGATTACGATACGGTGAATTTACCTTTACTGTTATCTGCTGAACTGATGATCAGTGATTTCATATCCCACTTGTCTCTGTAGCTTAGGGCATAGTTTCTGTGATGACTTTCATTACCAAGTTAAAATCCTTGACAAGTTAACAAGTCATGTTATAATAAATAATCTGTGTAGTCATGGATACTATTCTCAACAAACATCCTCTGCTTATGAGGTTTATTGAAGAAACAGAATTTAGCTTCTTTGCCTTAATACACTGTTAAATGGTTCTGTTTTGTCATTCACAATAATGGAGCTTGAAGTACCAAAGGAAAATATACTTTAGACTATATAGCTTTGTTTTAAAATGTCATATTTTAATCTCACGTTAAATGACCCACCCAGGGCGTAGTGATAACTAAATCTGTGGACAGGCACAATTTCAAAACCACACACAAGACACAAGGCATACACATACCGAGATATTAATGCTCTTGAAACTTTATGTAACTATTTTATGTAATATTTAAGTGAAGTAAGCAGTGGCAGTGTTAAATTTAGCTAAATGACTAGCTAGTTAACATCAGCCAAAAAATAGTTTGCTAGTTGTGTTCAAAATACGTGACATGGATATGGAAAAGGCTGTGTTGTGTTGGTGTTTGTGGCTAGCTAGCACTTTACATAAAAACTTGTAAACTGCTCTGTGCACGCAGGTCGTGCATCGCTTTTACGGCTACTGGCAGAGCTTCTGTACCCGCAAGAATTTCGCCTGGAAGGAGGAGTATGACACGAGGCAAGGTTCCAACCGCTGGGAGAAGAGAGCCATGGAGAAAGAGAACAAGAAGACGAGGGAGAAGGCGAGGAAGAAGTACAACGAACTTGTCCGTGAGCTGGTGGCCTTCGTGCGTAAGCGGGACAAGAGGGTCCAGGCCCACAAGAAGCTGGTAGATGACATGAACGCAGAAAAGGCCAAGAAGGTGGAGGAACTGAGACGTAAACAGAAACTCCATCAGGCGAAGTTAGTGACGTCATAGCGGATGGGAACGACCTCAGCACCTTCTTTTGAGCTGTGTATCTGCTTTAATTATGGATTAACGTGGTCTCTACCGGATATGTGCAATAAGAAAATTTATCTGTATACCATGCAATATATTTTTCTCTCTCTTCATCTTAATCCCACCCTCATCTGCTGCTAACATTATTATTATTATCATCATCATCACTGTGTCACCTTCTAATGCCTGTTTGCACTGACATTGCTATGTGTTAGTCATTTTGTGAAGTTACTGTACATATTTATAATTCATGCTGATGCTCTCATTTGAGTCTTGTATACACAGGATTTTTTTTGAGAAATGTCCCTTGACATTTGCACTTCATCCTGTAGTTTTAATTTTTTTAATTTAGCTGTACTTTCCACACTGAGGTTAATGTGATTGAGAGTCATGTCTGTGACTCTCGATGCTTCTGTTTCTGCTGCACGTTAAAGGCACAAGAATTTCCCTCGGAATCAAGCCCGTTCTTATTTTGTTTTTAGTTTCTAGTTTTTATCTGAAGGTAGTCTACCATCATCAAAATGAAAACCTTCTTTGTGTCTGCTGGCAGGTTGGCTGAAGACTACAAAGAGCAAAACTGGGTCTCCATGTCTGAGCTGGAGAAGGAGCTGAAGCAGATGGAAGCCCAGTATGGAGAGGAGTTTGGAGATGCATCAGAAAGTGGGGAAGAGGATTCAGAAGCACAAGATGGAGGTGACTGAGGCGGGGCGGAGAAAAGTATCGGGACATCTGGTCATCCTATGAAGTGGGATTGATATGCAAACCAAGACATTTTAGACAATTCCTTGTTTCCAACTTTATGGGAACAGTTTGGGGAAGGCCCTTCTCTGTTCCAGCATGAGCCAGGTGCACAAAGCAAGGTCTATAAAGACATAGTTGGGTGAGTTTGGTGTAGAAGAACTTAACTGGCCTGCACAGAGCCCTGACCTCAACCTCATCAAACACCTTTGGGATGAATAGACATTGCGAGCCAAGCCGTCGTGTCCGACATTCCACCACAAACACATTATAAACTTGTGGAAAGCCTTCCCAGAAGAGTGGCAGCTGTTACAGCTGCAAAGGGGGGACCAGCTCCATATTGATGCCTATGGATTTAGAATGGGATGTGATAAAAGTTCCTGTGGGTGTAATGGCCTGGTGTCCCAATTCTTTTGTCCATATAGTGTATAGGGTTGTCCTATAGGGTCATGCATACATATTCTGTTTGTAAGAAAAGTCAGTTACTGTGTGGGTTTGAAGCTTTTTGCACAGTTGGTAGAATGTGGATTCTAAAATTACTTCACCAAAAAAATACAATTATGCATTAAAAATACTTTCATTTTACTTTGCAATATTTTATAGCACAATCAGACTTTCGTTTGATAGAAAATGGGTTCAGGATTCATTGTCATTGTACAAATAATGAGAATCGGACTAAAGGTATATGAAACATATATTTCATGTACTTCACAGAGACGCTGACAGATGGGCCTGAAGAAATTGTGGGATATTATGATGAGCTCTACTGCCCAGCCTGTGATAAGTTCTTCAAAACGGATAAAGCGTGAGTTCGGTGCCTTTGACGATTCAGCCATCCCACAAAAAGCAGTGTGACATACGAGCGCAAAGGTAATAACAGAGCATGCCTTTTCTGTCCTACACAGCATGAAAAACCATGAGAGGTCTAAGAAACACAGAGAGATGGTTGCATTGCTACGACAACAGCTTGAGGAGGAGGAAATTAGCTTAAATCCCAGTCCTGTTAAAAACACGGAAGATGATGAAGAGGATGAGGAAGATGAGGAAGAACAAGAAGAGGCTTCAAGAGAAAAGTATTAACTAATACTTAACAACTCATTCATAAACTGTATAAAGTCATATATAAATATGCAGGATTACTTAATGCGTCACAAACAAGATGTCAGTAAAGTATTTTTGTGGCAGTAGCCAAATGCTAACATATAATATCCTCCTGAGACCCGACCCATTCATTTATGTCCATTGTAGTGGACATTGTATTTTTGCATTTAGTTTTTCACTGATGTTAGGAAACATATTTTTTCCTGTTATGCACTAAAGAGGACATGCTGCGAAATTAAAAATAAAAATAAATTTGAAAAAATCTAAATTGTAAGATGTCTTATCTCCTCCAAAGTCAAATAACCTAAAATTGAAGGACACTTTTTTCCTTGGGTCTCAGGAGGATATAAAAGAATCACCAGTGTAAATTTAACATTTTTAAACTTCTACAGGCTATCTAAAAAGCAAAAAAAGAAAAAGAGACAACAGAAAACTTTGAATGTGAGTATTATCCTTTAGTATTTGATGTAATTGAAAGATCGTGATAATCCTTAACCTGAAATGCTCTTGTGATGTGTTCTCAATGTGTTCTTTTTTAATCCCTTCTTTCCTGCAGAATCATTCAGAAGAGGAATTGGCACCTGTCCTCACACAGTCCGTCCCCGAAGACCCTGTCCTGTCTCATTCAGAGAATCCGCAGACCTGCGCAGACGTGGCCTCTGAGGACACGGTGAAGAGCACGGCTGAGCCAGCAGCTGCGGACTCAAAGAGGTGGCCTCCCTGCCCAGAGTCTCTCAGAGCCATTTTTAACCAAAAGCGATGCTGTTCGCTGTTTCTCCGGCACTAAAGTTTGCCGTTTTCTGTTATTTTTTCCTGGCAGCTCCGTAAAGATGAAGGGAAAGAAGGGTGGAAAGGATTCAAAGAAGAACATCAAAATCCAGGGTGCTGTGGAGCAGGCGACAGAGGTCTGTGACTTTAAAACATTATCATTATCTGGAGGGGAGCATTTTATCGAATGAAATTCAGCTATATGGCAAAATGATGCCAGGGGCCTGACTGGATGCTAACACTTCTGTCATTTGTGTTTTCCTCCAAAAGAAACTGGATCTGCATTGTGTGACCTGCCAGTTCGAATTTACGTCAAGAAACAAACTGTTTGACCACTTGAAGACGACGGGACACGCCACTGCTCTTTCATCAGGTGGCGCTGCTGGGGGAAAAGCGAAAAAGGAAAAGAAGAAGAACAGATGACCCCTGTAGTGCAGTGCCGTCGTTATCCCAGTTCTGGGAATACAGTGGGTTTGGCCTAATTAAGAGATTATATCAGTCTGACTGCTTTCGGCAATTTCATTCAGATTTTTGTACAATCTGTTTTATAATGATACTGTAAAGAGCCTTTTATTGAATTTATTCAATATGTCATGCTTGTTTATTTATCAGACGACGGTGTAATGTCCTACTGGTTTATGCTGAACAGTTTGGATTTTGTTTGAGGACAATGATTTAGAAGCATTTCACTTAATCTGTAGCCAGATATTGTTCTTATGGACTGACTTAAGCACTTGCTGCTTTTCACCTAAACTGACATCTTATGCAGGCACTCAACAGCTCAGCTGTAGTAATAATAAAAAGAACTGCAGCAACAAAGTCATTGATTGCTTCAAAATCAGTAAAAATTGATTTGCCACACAGCCAAAGTGTTTTATAATAAATCGACATCCGAAAAATATGGAAAAGGGTATTTTTTAATGAAACCATGAACTGTTTTCTTTACTGTATTCCTTTCACCGTGTAAATACTTCTAAGAACTTGTGTAATCTGACACAGAAGAATTTCAAATTAAACAAAATTCAAATATGCTATCATAAATGTAAATTTCTTAAAATATGAAATTAAAATCATATATATATATATATATATATAAACACACAAAATATGAATCCTGCACTGTTTGTTTACATAAGACCATTCTATTCTTTGGTTTTTGTATACACCTTTTTGGCCTTCTACAACCCCAAATCCAATTTCCAAAAAAGTTGGGACGCTGTGTAACATGTAATTAAGTACAGAATGCAATTATTTACAAATCATATAAACCTGTATTTTTGATTGAAAATAGCATATAAAGGCAACATATCAAATGTTAAAACAGAAATTTTATTGTTTTCTGACATATATGCTCAGTTTGAATTTGATGCCAGCATGTTTCATAAAAGTTGGGACAGGGGCATGTTTACCATGTTTACCACAGTGTTGCAGCATCTCTTCTTTTAACAACACTGTGTAAATGTTTGGGGACTGAGGAGACCAGTTGCTGGAATTTTGAAAATTAAATGTCTCATTCTTGCCTGATATAGGATTTCGGCTGCTAAGCAGTTTGGGGTCTCCCTTGTCGTTATTTTCATGGTGCACCAGATGTTTTCAGTGGGTGACAGGTCCGGACTGCAGGCAGGCCAGTCTGACACCCAGACCAGGGGTGTCAGAAGCATTTTGAGTGGGGGGGGGGGCACACTGGCATAAAACTGATATTTTATGTTACATTTGGGGGGGTCCAAACGAATAATTGTGAAATGTGAGGGGGTCACGTCCCCCTCAGATTTAATGGTGGCGACACCCATGCCCCAGACTCTTCTACTTCAGAGCCATGCTGGTGTAATACACATAGGATGTGGTTTGGCATTTTCTACAGAGATTTCTCCAGATTTTCTGAATGTTTTAATGATATTATATACCAGAGAGATGAAATTCCCAAATTCTTTGCAGTATTACATTGAAAAACATTATTATTAAATTGTTGCACTATTTGTCCACACAGTCCTTCATAGAGTGGTGAACCTCCCTCCATCTGCACTTCACAGAGTGGTGAACTTCCCTCCATCTGCACTTCACAGAGTGGTGAACTTCCCTCCATCTGCACTTCACAGAGACTCTGCCTCTCTGGGAGACTTTTTATACCCAATCATCTCACTGACCTGTTGCCAGTTAACCTAATTAGTTGTGAGATATTCAACCAGGTGTTTTGTTTTAGCATCACACAACTTTGCAAGTCTTTCGTTGCCCCTCCTCCAACATGTTTGAAATGTGTTATTGGCATTAAATTCAAATTTGTCATAAAACATTAAATTTCTGTTTCAACATTTGATGTTGCCTTTCTTATATTTTCAGTGAAATATACAAATTTACAAATCATTGCATTCTGATTTTTACATTTTACACGCTGTCCCAACTTTTTTGGAAGTGAATTAGGCTTAATAGATCATTGTTACTGCTTTTGCCATTTATACTCTTTTTTTTTGTTCGATACCTTCAGGTCTAGTATGTGGCTGTGATGTTTGTTGAAAATACTATATTTTATTAAGAACTATTATCCTGGCCACTGAGAATGTTTTTAGCCCATTACTTTGGTACTCCCATCTTAATTTTTGCAAATTTACAGTTTGGAGTATGCAAACACGATTGGAGGATTGTATCATGGTAACTACACACATGCCAGTATATGCAATATTAAAACATACTGAATGGAAAAATAATGGCACTCAAAAACAACCAAATTTCCACATATTTCTGTGCAAGGCAGAAAAATACGGATAATTAATATGCAAACATTCAGTCTTAATTTCAGAAGCAAGTTAATCTTCAGCACTGGCATCCAGTCGGTGGAGTACCACAGTGCTATGCCACGTGAGATGCCCGGCAGTCCCCACCACACCTGACCAGGATAAGCAGTTAGAAGCTGGAGAAAAGTTAACCTTCATATAGCATAAGTGCACATATCCAGTAGAGGGCAATAGTGGGTTTCTTAAAAATAATCATGAAACACGTGCAAATTTGGGAGAACATTTAAAAAAGGATTTGAGAAAGCACTTCTCCACACAGCGTGTAGAGAGTATGGAATAGTCTTCCTGTTAGTGTAACACAAGCTAAAACCATGGGTTCCTTTAAATCAGAGATAGATAAGATTCTAACAACTCTGAGCTATTAGTTAAGTTCCCTCCAAACGAGCTTGATGGGCCGAATGGCCTCCTCTCCTTTGTAAATTTCTTATGTTCTTAAATTGGAAATTACCATTTAAGCGTACTGAGGACAGCAGTAGTAATAGATTAATGTTACTACTTAATTAATGTCAGATTTTAGAAACTTGTTTGAATAAAACGAGCAAACTTAATCCTATCAGGTATTTAAAGATGTAAGAGAAAATGTAAATTTAAAGTGAGAATTTATTTGTGGCTATAATTAGCATAAGTACACAATTTGTATTGATTTTCCAAGGCTTTTCCTTCTTTGGGTCTTTGACTGCTTTACCTAATTTATAAACAATTTTTTTAATGAGTTGTAGTTCTGGTTGCAGTTTTGGGAACTTATGTTTGGATAATGCTGTATTTGATGTTATATCTATAACGTTCAGGTTTCCAATCTTATATAGTATGTATATTTCAGATTATTGCAAATCTGTTTATCAGCTCTGCTGATAAACAGATTTGAACTTGTGTCCAACTTGAACTTGTGTCCAAATTAATTATTAGCCTTCCAGTGCCGTTGGCAGGAAAGGCTGAGTTGATGATGGAGTTGTGGCTTAACCAGCTCACCAGAGCTTTGATTTTGTCTGCTTGTGAGACATTTGCTGTTGCCTATCTTGGCCAGGTCTCCCTTGAAAAAGAGGTTTTTAATCTCAATGGGATCTTCCTGGTTAAATAAAGGTTAATAAAATAAAATAATAATAAAATAATTTTGGGAAGAAGCAGGAATATCCAAAGGGCACCTGGGCAAATGCACAATGAGGAGGCCATTGCAGAGGCATCCATGCACTGTACACAACCAGCGACTGCACTACCCTGGTTTTATTTGGCTTCCTATGGAAATAAAATGCGCAGACTGCAAATTATTTCATGTTTATTAATTTTAGCTGTCATAATTTTGCTACATTATACATTTTACACAACTTTATACAGGTGTAACAACTGACAAGTATGTAACATAACTCAATGTATGTTTTGTATTGCATGTGACCATTCGGGAATTTTCTGGCATGCAGATGACACTGATAGTTGTATAACTGGTTAAAGGAAACATTAAACTGACAAAGTCAGTAAAAAAAAATAAAAATTAATGTGACCTAACTAGTAAGACACTGGTTTATGTCTACCACTCGTTATCCTGGAAGCTCTGGGCTCAGTATGTGTACAATTAAGTTAAAAGTGATATTATTTTTAATCAATGATGTTTCTGTAATGTGATTGTTCTCTCAGCTACTTGCAGTACTGCTGTGTGAAGGGAATAGTCAAGATCCGCTCATTATGATGTGAGCTCAGCATATTTCTGTATGACATGACTGAAGACGGCTAAGAAGAAGTCTGCATCCTCCTTGGTGATACACATTGGTGGCTTGATTCGGAAAACCTGTGAGTACAAGCAGACAATGAGATTTGTTTCACTCCGTTTATACAGGGACATGATGGCCTGCAAAAACAGACCCCGTACCTCATACTCATGAAGCCCCCCCCCCCACAGGACCCCAGAGGGACACGGTCGTATGTCTTTTCCCAGCCACAAAACTTGGAGGGTCCATGGGAAAAACTCCCATGAACCCTCCAATATCCTTGTGAGGGCTGGTCCAGTATTCTGCGACCAGGATGGAATCTGCATTGTCCCTCCTGGATCTGAGGTTCAACCAGTGGATGGACCCTCCTCTCCAGTACCCCAGCATAGACCTTCCCAGGGAGGCTGAGGACTGTGAACCCACTAAAGCTGGAACACATCCTCCAGTCCCCTTTTTTAAAGACTGGGTCCACGACCCCAGTCTGTCAATCCAAAGGCACTGTCCCCGACGTCCACGCAATGTTGAAGTGGCGTGTCAGCCAAGACAGCCCAACAACATCAAGAGCTTTCAGGAACTCAGGGTGAATCTCCTCCACACTCACAGCCTTACCACCAAAGAGTTTTTTGACTACTTCAGTGACCTCAGTCCTAGAGATGGGCAAGTCCCTCTCTAGTCTCTCTTCTGTGTCTTCCAGCTCTACTTCCTCCAAGGAAGGCGCACCAGTGGGATTCAGGAGGTCCTTGAAATACTCCTTCTACCACCTGACTATATCCCCATGTGAGGTCAGCAGTTCTCCCTCCCTGCTGTGATCAGCATTGGTAAAGCCCTGCTTCCCCCTCTGGAGTTGCCAGGAGGTTTGCCAGAATCTTTTTGAGGCTGATGGAAAGTCCTTGTCCATGGCCTCACCAAACTCCTCCCACCCCCGAGTTCTTGCTTCAGTAACTGCCAAAGCTGCATTCCGCTTGGCCTGCCGGTACCTGTCCGCTGCCTTCAGCTCTGCAACGGCGGCTCAGCAGTGGAATCCCAGAACATGCCCCATTCAGGCTCAATTTCCCTGACTCCCTCCGGATGCTGGAGGTGTGAGTGAAAGATCTTCTGGACAGGGGCCTCCGCCAGATACTCCCAGCACACCCTCACTATTCACTTGGGTTGACCAGGTCTATCTGGCATCTTCCCCGCCATTGGATCCAGCTCACCACCAGGTGTCAGCCCATCTCCTCTGACACATACAGACTCAGATCTGACAATACGACTACAGAATCGATCACTGAACTGTGGCCTAGGTTGCCCTGGTGCCATGTGCACGTATGAACACCCTTATGTTCAAACATGGTATTCTTTATGGACAAACAGTGGGTAGCACAGTCCAATAATAGAGCAGCACTTGAGCTCAGATCAGGCAGGCCGGTCCTCCCAATC